AAAGCATGTAATGAGGGAATCTATTTTTAGAAGAATTGTGTTATATCCCTACAGTGGAGTCTAGACATCTGCAACACCAATGACCATTAAAGCCAACACTTTGCTCAGAGACCTTCTGTTGATATTTATTTTCTTTAAACCCATTTTTGGGTTCTGTAATTGTAATTTTTTAACTTGAAAAGTTTGTTAGCAGACGGGTACATACACAACATGTTAACTAGCAAGCTTTAAATGTATTGACAGGAGAATAAGTTACCTTGAGCCAGAGGGGCTGTTTTCTCCATTTTCACTCTTTGCTAAAGTAAGTTAGCCCGCTGCTGCTGCTAGTGGCTCCGTACACTTAGTGAGTTGTATCAATGTTCTCTTCTAATTCTCAGACAAAAGTATATAAGGCATTTTCCCAAAATGTCAATCTTCCCCTTTATCCTGCTGCTATTTTACATCTGTATGTATCTAACTGTGTCCTACACCTGTCAATACACCTAGAACACCTAGATCTCACACACGCCCATACACTTCTATAGGTCAAGTCATGTCAAGGGTCAAATCTGCCGAGGTCAACAGGTTCTTCAGTCTTCTTAGGCCACTCATTGATCAGTGTAAACAGATAAGGTAGCACCAGTAGCTCACATTCTTCAAACATTCCTCTTCTCTGGAAACTAATAGAGCCAAGCTTCATTTCAGAGACAGTTATTCTACTGGCTTTCAGAGGCTGATAACAATCTTATTCTATGACTGTGTAAATGCAAAGAGCTACAAATTGAAAACGGCTCTTATAAATGGTCCGGAATTAAACAAGAAAAGGAAAAATATAAGTGAGCCGTCATCTCACTGACTGGTGTTATATTTCATTTTCGAAATACTGTTTCATATTTTCCCTTTTCCAATGCAATCTTGTGTTATTTTCCATTTTATTTATTCCAGCCTTGTTAAACTTTTTGAAGGTGTAATTCAGAAGACTGGGTTTGCTGTCTGGCTCTGACAAACTCACAGCAGCTGCTCTGACACAAAGCAAGAGGAAACCTCCTTCACACGTGTCCCACAAATCCTGACTTTACATATGTAGAGGAAAATAAACACCTTTTGCTTCCCTTGCCCCTTCACCCTTCCTTCTTTTTGTTCTGTCTCTGTTCTGCTCTGTCTCAGGCATATGAGGGTGTATAAACATGAGCCTCCATGGATCAGTGCTCGCAGAGGCAGGATATGAGAGATTCCCCTCACCTCTCCCTTTTTGAACCTGTATCACAGACAGTGAAAAGTGGCTCCTTTCCAAAAGAAAAAAGGGCCACAGAGGGGTCAGCTCTGCTCAGCTGCATGCTTGTTGATACGGTTTCAACCTCTGCATCCCAGCGGAGAAAGCAAAACTCCCTCACTGCTTTGTATGGACAGGGTTGTGATTTCACATACCGTGCACACAAACACACTGAATCACATGCTGAAGTCCACCTTTTAGAAATGGATTGAGTGTGACTCAATCTGAGCAGGAGGTTAAACAACAAGGGGACTCAAACACAGTGGAAGTAGGACAGACAAGGGCCCTGCTATGATCAAGATGTGCACTGATGTGTGCTGAAATAATTAGTAAATTAATGTATGAGTCAACCTACAGAAACTTATATCTATTTTGACATGTTTTTCAGAGCAGGAATGCACATTATAATGCAAATGCTTGTAATATTTTATTGCTGCTACAGAAACAACAACAACAAGTAGTTAGCAGGATTATGCAAAAAACTACTCAATCAATTCCCATGAAATTTAAAAAAAGGAGTGGGTCATAATGTAAAGAAGCACCCATTACCTTTTACAGTGTATTTGAAAAAATGGGCAGATCCAGGATTTTGTCAAGTGGACTGGGGTACAGTTAAGTGGAGATTCAAAATTGACCATGGGGTGAGTGTGAATGAGTTTTTGTCTCTGTATGTCTGCCCTGTGAAACACTGCTGACCGGTCCAGGGTGTACCCAGCCTCTCACCAGCTGGGAATGGCTCCAGCTCCCCATGCGACCCTCAAATTATAAGAGTAGAATCTCAAAATCAGTTTTAAAACAGGCCACAACTGCAGACCCCAGTTGGGTCAATGTAATGTCACCTGTTGGTACCAGTTAATACCTAGGTGAGCAGGTTTTTCCTGACAGCCATAACCGTGATGGAGGAAGCAGAGAAGGGATCAGCTGAGAATTGAAGGGGAGAAGAATAAGGAGGAAGCAGAGGTGCGGTGGGGAGGAGTCTGGACGGAGAGGTGTTTCATAAGCCCTGCCGCTACATTCTCTGCCTCAGACTGCCAGGTTCCAGCTGTCGGGGGGGAGAGGCTGCCATATAAAAATGATATGTATTAAACGCCGGTAAGGGCAACACCAGAAACACATTTTCCCTCTCAGCAGTGAACGGTTCACTCTCACTCTTACCCAGCTCGATGAAGTTCCTTTATCTCTTCATCACTTCCTACCTCAATGTGTGAAAAAGGAGGATTCATATAAAGTGGCTTCTACACAGTAGGTGAAAGAGCAAAGAGTGAGAGAGACGTGCAGCCCGTCCGTATGCTTGTCGATCAGAGGATGTTCCAGGTGCCCGAGTCAAAAAGAGTCAGACCCTGTCAGCTTCACTTACATTCCTCGTATCGCACTGCATTTAATAAATTACTATCTAACAGCCCATCTCAGGCTCATTACTCAAACTCAAACTGGAGCAATTTAGATGAAAACTGAGATCAGCTCGCAGCGCTTTTGATCAGAAAAGTTAAGCGTTTGCCATAAAAAAAAAAGTCATTATTTTCACCGTCGTGACTGCAGCTCATAAATGTCATAAAGCTGGATTGGTGTTGTGGGGGAGCAGAGAGGGGGTGGGGAGAGAACATACAGTAAAGAGAGGGGTGAGGAGGGGAAACAGGGAAAAGTCAGGTGTAGGGATGTGATGCAGCGCTAATCTAAGCATGCCATCTAGTGGTGACAGGTGGTATAATCCACAAAGAGAATATAGGAATTCGATGACAGCTTGAATTTTGGAGATCAAATAACAGACATCACTAGATGATGACATATTGTTGAACGATAAATACAATGAAGTTTATACCCACACAACATTAACTGCTCATATCTGGGAGCTTTTGAGTTGTAGAAACAAAACATTGTTAATGATTATGTACATCATTTTTTCAGTAAGGAATAAAACTCCTTTTCCCAGCACCACAACTTTATTCACCAAAATCTGAATCTCACTGATTTCCTGCTCAATCCAGCTGGAACCTGAAAGCTGCTGACTTTGCTGACAGTAGTCAGTTAAAGGTACAGTGTGTAGAATTTAGTGATATCTAGTGTTGAAGTTGCATGTTGCCGCTGAACACCCCTCACCTCACCCTCCCCTTCCAAACATGAAAAAGAACCTGTGGTAGACTTCAGCTGTCATAAAAACGTAAAAGGTGTTTAGTTTGTCCAGTCTGGACTAATGTAAAAAACATGGCGGCCTCCGTAGTGAGGACCCCCTCGATGTAAATATAAAGTATTTAAATATAAAGGGCCTTTTCTGGGGTAAAGAAAACTACAATTAATACAATTTAGATGAAATGAACTAGTGAAAACATCATGAGGATTATTCTACATTAAATTTCTGCCAATAGTTCCCTTTCACCTAAATCTTACTCACATCCTTTAATGTGGAGCAAAAGTAAAAATTCGTCAATAGTACATATGGAGATTATAAATGAAAGTTAGGGCCTCTCAGGGGTGTGCTGCGTAAAATCCAACATGGTCGGTGCGATGATATGAATCACGATTGGTGGTGCTACTGTGCGAACGCAATCTCCAAATTTGCCACAACTCCAGAGTAGCGCGAATGTGATACCATGCACAGCAGAAATGCCTAATGAAGAGAGGGCTCCAATTAGTGGGCAAGCCAAGGGGGGCTTTGGGAGGCACACCATAACACATAAACAAACTTATCCTGACAGGGTCGATTTGCCAAAAAGAGCGAGATACGTATATAGTGAAGGAGGCCGAGAGAAAATGAATTACCTTCTCGACACACGTCGCTGCGTCACTGCAGAGCATCCTTTGCCGTTCCTGCGCCCCAAATCCCTGCCGCCACAGCCGCCACGTTTCATCTGCCAGTGTTAGTATGCATACAGGCCGTGCGCCAGCCTCCAAATGTATTCATTTATTCAGAGCCCCTCAGAGAAATCACAGTGTCTTGTTGTCCTTTTTTTCCCTGGCTGTCCAGATGGAATTTGCGTGAATAACATCAGTTTAGTGAGGCAGAAAATAAGTACAGGCCAGCACAGCAGAGGGGACTACATTGCACCTTCTCCCACCTCCTCAAAAAAAAGGATTGAAAGACAAGTGTCACCTTCATATACTTCTTTCTCCCTCTTCGTCTGTCTTTCCCATTTTCTTTTCTACTTCCATTGAATCTCAGCAGGATGGAAGGGAGGAGCAAAAAGTGCGAGATCAATGCAGCTTTCACTCCAATTATTTTGCGTTATCATGCACTGCAGGTGCAATTAAACACAAGATCATGAATCAAAGAAGTCCAGCGTCGTTCTCATTACAAAAAGGTGAGTGCAGCCCAGTGCTCATTTATCCTTGTTTTGTTTTGCATTTATAATGCAACTAATTGCATTAATTAATCAGATGTGCTTCCAATAGGAGGGAGAGTGTCTCCAACAAGTAATTGAATGAGATGAAAGCGGTAGAAAAAAAACTGTAAATCAATATTTCCAACTCCAATAAAGTGCAAGAGAAATTAAAATGTCTTCTGTCAGAAGGGTGGAACCCTCAATAATCATCAGCTGTGTCAGAAATAATTCACTACAAAGACTTCAAGCAGTCAAGTTGTTGTCTTTACTATAAACCCATTAAATTGATTTCATTAGAATTTGTGAGATGTCCCTCAGAGTCCACTGAAACTAAACTAATGTGTGTGTGATCAGCTATAAAAAAGATAGTATTGGTTGTGATCATTATTACAAGTGAATGACAGACACAAAACAAAGTGAATTAATCCTACCTCTCTGAGAACTGTGCTCCCAAATCCTCTGTACAAGCCTCGGACACCCTGCTCAGAGAAAACAAAGTTTTACAAATACAGACACACAGTTGATTTCATATCATATAACTGATGTTTTTATTTTAAAAAAATAAGAAAACATTATTTTTTAAATCAAGCATAGCATACAAAACAATTATTTTATAATTTGTAATATTTCAAACCAATCACCAAGTAGAAAAAAGTGTATAAATTATATGTGAAAGCAAAATAGCATTCCAGAATAATTCTGGATTATTACAACCTCTAATATTCATAATTCTATTTTCTATTGTTCAAGATGACACATATTTAAAGTAACTGCTGCGAGCTGGATTAGAGTTGAGGCGCGGCCGTCCACGCTACCAGATGAGTTAGCACGCGCCACGCATTCAGAGGATTGAGCCCTCCTGCAATTTCTAGTATTCTCCAAAGCAGACAACCAATTAGAGAACATAGTACAAGACAAACTATCGAGAGATTCTGCAAGAGTGTTCACAATTCGACCTTTAGAACACGGCCTTGCTGAACAGACAACCAAATTTTGTACTTTGTATTAGATTTGTTTGATCGTCTGACGACCTCTTGCCCTGACAGTGCTATTATTACCAAACCATGATACAAATATAGAACTATTGCATTAAACCAGAATAATCTTTTCAGGAAGTGACATTGACTGTACCTCTCCTCTGAGTGTCCCCTGCAGTATGTGGTAGGTGGTGGATGAGGGAGAAGCCTGGGCCCTTTGTTTGATCACCTCTGTGGGAACCCGGATAAGACACGCCACCTACAGGATGGACACAGCATGAGTTAAACAAACAACCCCACATTTATGATCTCAATCTACAGTAGCGTCCTTCATAAGGGTTTTCAATACTGTAAACATATTGCATTTGACTGCACTAACGTGTGAACAAGGGGACCACTCACTGCCCTTCACACCCCTCCACTAGGTGCACTGCTGCTGTATGATAGTGTTTTTGCTATGTGGCAGGTGGCCATGACAACGAGGGATTTTGGTAATGTGCAATTTAGCCAATGAACAAAATGAGTAAGGAAGAAGCAAACTGCAAACATGAAAACTGAGAAGATTCATCAGGCCGACTGCGTCCAAACAACTTCCATCAAACGCACTGATGGATCCAAGTTCCCTGCAACAAGTAACAACCCATCCACCATATGTCAACAAAAGTATGGACTGCCAGCAGCTAGTGAAGACAGACATGAATATTTATGCTTCTCATCGCCCTAAAGGCAGGCAGGCACAGCTGCCCACCTGGCGACTTGATTTCCCATTTATCCTGCATCAGAGCGGAAATACCGGCTAACAGCGAGCAATCTTACAGAACGATTGGTGAGCCACCCCCCTGCTGCGACTCCCCTCGGTCATACAGATGCCAGTCTGCTGGTGCCACCCTCGCCACACCAACGTGAAGCAGGGAGGAGGAAAGAGAGAGAGTGATGGAGCCACTGCAATAAAGATGAAATGCACTGCTTTTTTCTTCCTTTTCCATTGAACTATCCATACTGATTTAGCATTTGGGCCCCCAGCAGAGGTTTTACAGGGAATGGGGCCCCAAAGGAGAACGCTCTTCCGCTCTCCACGGCAAGGGGACAGCTGTTCGAGGGTGCATTTCTGTCTGCTTTGCATCCTCTCTGTCGGCTCCTCTGCCAGACACCAAGGACGCCTCACGAGCCAGAACAAGAATTTTTGTGGACTGCAAAAAAGAGAGGCTAAGTCAAGCAAAATCACAAACTGAGTTGACATAACCTGTGAACAGCAACAGGAAATGGTTTTGTTTCTTGTGCACTACTGATTATTATTTGGTCCATTTTACAGCTTTATTTTTTCCAGTACATTATTATTTTTTGCTGCCGGCCAACGCAACTCCCTGTTTGCAAAACACAGTGAGCAGATAAACTCCATTCTCTCTACATATGAGCAAAAACAAAAGACGTGCATGAGCTTCTGGAAAGATTTCAGTGCACCTCTCATTACAAGTAAGTGTGAGCACCTTCCAGCTGCGGCCAAACTGTGGTGCAAGAGCACCACCAAGTGGCGTCACCTACACCTGCATCACTTCCCTTGCAATAACTAGGCTGGTTGCATGCATCTCAGAGATCTCATTTGCCCTCCCTTTGGTCAAGTTACCACTTATAATACATTGTACATCATGTTCTCCCCAAACCAATTCTCCAAAGCGATAAGAATAAGGCAGCTAAACAGAATGAAAGTGGCTATGACAAGTAATTACTGACGTAATTGGATGGAGGGCATGGAGTGGAGACAGCCTTTCCTCTCTTGTCACAACAGAGGGGAAGGCAGAATGAGGCTGAGATTATACCAAATAAATTACGGACATTGTTTGTTTGGGAGTAATTTGCACGCCGAGGGGGTGGGGAGGAGAATGTTGAGTGAATAGAAGATAAAGTGTGAAGTGTCTGGGGCCATTTCAGATCTTGGCAAAAAGACGGAAATGCTGGTGATGAATCAGGCCGTGTTAAAATACGTCTGAGCTGCATCTTCTGTGGAGATGAGGAGGTACAATGCAGTCATGTCACAGAGAATAGAAGATTTCAGAAGGTGTCTCCCATTTGATGTCAGTCTTGTTACCTCACGTTTCGAGGAGGGCTGTAGGTGGAAGGCTGTCAGGAAGACAGACGTCTGTTTCCTCACCTACTTCGCACGCCCCTCGTTCTCAATTCTTCCCTCTGGCATGTAAACGTATTATAAACCCATTGGAAGCCTTTTAAATTCCTGCTACCATTCATCTTTATTTACAAGCTGATGGATTCATCAAGCAGCATTAATTAGGAGGCTGTCTGCCTGTGATCGGAGCCTTTCAGTTTCCCTCGGCCTGCTTCTGTTAATCCAAATGACAGAGCGTGTTTTCAATTTCCAGCGCTGCCCGCCAGACAACAAGGTGCAACGCTTGTGCTCAATCACTGGCAAAATCACGTCAGGAATTGGGAAATAAGCAGAGACTCAGAGCACATTATCGGCATAGCCAGCGGATCAATCTGCAGATTGAGTCATTGCATCCCTCTGTCCATCGCACCCCCCCATCATCCCTCTTTTACTGCCCATGGCCGTCAGGACGTAGTGGAGAGAGAGAGAGATTACCGTTTAAACACTGCAGGGAGACAAAAGGTAAGAAAAACAGATGTTTAGGACCTTGTCATTGAAATGTACTACATTCCCAAGTGATTTGATCAAGAGAAAGGGCTGCAGTCACACATATAAAAGAACTGCAATTTTCTTTAGAGAAAAACAGAGCAGAACTATATTGCACTTCAGAATATCCTCACCTTTAGTCCAGATTTTCAATTTAACACTAAATTATACAATACAATGTGAGCAATGTACGATCCAATAGACAAATGAACTCCAGCTGAAAGGTTTGCTAAACAACTTAATCTCTTAACTTATTTAAGAATTACTTAGCTCAAAACCAGAACCCTGCTTTAAAGATAAATCTCAGTGGCAACACAGTAAAGCCTGTATAGACAACAAAATCTGCACCTCTCCCTATGAAACACAGCTTGTGCTACAGTCTGCATCAGCACCAAAGTCCCAGGACTTTTCTGGCTTTTTGATCGTAAGCCCATTCGTGGAAAAGAATTGCCGAGACTGAAATATAGGACTGCAAAGAGAAAAGCAAGGAGGGGAGAAAAAAAAAGGTCATGAAGTAAAGGGGAAGAGATGAGGACGCCACGTGTCTCCAACTTTGAAACAACAGCCAATAAATCACAGAGCGTGGTGCTGCTCAAAGGCGATGCATGGATTATTTCTAGGTGCCAAGTTAAGTGGCTGCCAGCCCCCCCCCTGCAAAAAAAACCCTCCTCCTGTGCTTCCTCCTTCTCTCTGTCCCCCTATCTTGTCATGTCACACTGTATTTTCCAGTACATCCTCCCACAGACGTGTGATGGTGGTGGTGAGGGGGGGGTTGCCTTGACAAATGAGCTTTCAGGGCAGACGTCGAGCGAATGGGAATGAAGATAAATCTGATTTAATGGCTGGATAACAGCCTGCTAGAGCCTGACAGACGCCATCAGCTTACACATTCTTTATGGGAGCATCGCACCACTGCAGTTGCACAAACACCAGGGAGAAGATTTCTCTCATTGTCTTCTTGACCCTCCTATTGTTTCTCTTTGCAACTTTTGACTTCCCTCCTCTGTGTCCTGCCTTCGGGTACAAGTTAAGCCAGGAATTAGGTAAGTTCATATAAAAGTGGCATTAGTTTGAAAAATTTAAAGAGAACACAAAAGCTTAAGCAAATTTCTACATTGTATCAAGAGTGCAGCTCAATAATTCTATTTAAACCCAAGTCAGAGAGAAACAGTTTTTATGTGTGAAGACAACCTGAGCACAGTTTTCAAATCATTGTTAATTTTTTTGTCTTTTGTTCTGTGTTGTTTTATTGCCATGTATTTTGTAAAGCACATTGTAACCTTGTTTGATTAGAGCTACAGAAATAAAGTGTTAATATTATTATTATAAATTTGTGTTATCCTGCCAAGCAGTTGTTAACATGGTAACATCTTGCCCCCTTGCACATGTATCTCTATATAAATATACTCTATATAAAGATGGACGGGGTGACAGCTCACCAAACATAAAGCCAAAGCATCTTGATCGCCTGCTCTTGGCTGGCTGCAGATAGATCATCGTGGTTTCTGTCATTGTAGGGGGTTCTTATCAGATGCTCATTTGTTTCTGCCTCATTTTTTTTAATTAGTTACCTGATTGTTTTAGGTAATATGTCATGTGACTGAGAAAGGCTCAGTGTGGTCAGACGGCAGGAAATCGTTACTGTGGCTCCATTCCCCACGATCGCTACTGATGGCAGCATTCTTGTCTGGGATAATTGGTTTCTTTTCTGGATTATGGGAGTAAGTGGAGCTGCACAACCCATCGAACAGTCTATGTTTTATATGGGGGCAACAGGAAGTTTGTTTCAACTTATAAAAAGCAAGTTTTCTCTGACAAACGTTTGGGTACAGGCTGCGCGAAACTCCAACACAAACCGCATGGCTTCATCTGGCTCAGGTCGGGTATCCACCCTCTTGTACATTTGTATTTTCACTATAAAAAATTCCACTTAGGAAAAATATATGTCTTTATCTTTAAAATTATTCTTAAACTGATGATTCCAGTACTTAATAATTAGGGTTTCACACACAGCGTTTACTTTGATGAGGCTTGTTGTTGCTGTGAAGGCCTGACTACCCCCCCACCCCATTCTAGTCGAAGGACATCTGTGAGACTGATGTCTTGATGTTAAACATGACAATTGCTTGAGTTTAAGTTTGTATAACAGATTTTTTTTTCTTACAACTATCCCATATTTTATGCAAAATAAATTTGGAGCTACAACTCCCTCTGGTACAATCATAATAGACTTTAATCAAGTCTCTCTCTAGTAAATTGGTGCCAGCTCGAGCACATCATTCAGAGATGCTTGTGGATGGGATTAGCAAAGCAATAACTCCCATAAAGCTTCTGGTGTGAATGTTGCTGAGAGGAAACAGTTGGTAAAACACAACTAAATAGACTCCTGGGGAAAGAAGCATGGGCTGATGAAGAGGTTCAGTTGTGATGTCAGACCCAAATAAAAAGTTGCTTCTTCTTCTTTAAGTTCCTGTGTGTCAAAAGCTGCCAGCAACCAGCTGCTCCCAGCTAGCGTGAGACAAGTAGGAGAAAAAGCCAGAGAGAAACACACTGAAAACATGTGGCACTGTCAAACACTGGCAGAAAAGAACAATTAAGTGGAGGACGAAACATAATGCTAATGAAAATCTGTTTGAGTCTATATTAATGTTGGCATCAAATGTGATTTGTGCTGAATAATTCAGATCTAACTGAGGTAGGACAGAGGAGAAAACTTTTCTACTATAATATATTGATAAACATTCGGCCAGATTTATTACATTCCCAACTTGTCCTTATGACTATGGATTCTTTTTGACAGATTCTTCCGATCCATTAACAAAAAAAATGTCCACAACCCTTTGTTTTACAAACTATCTCTGTTCAGAAGAGTACACAACAATTACTAAAAAGGCTCAAACAAGCGAGCCAGTAGCAGACCTGTAGGTGGCGATAAAGTCTTCAACAGCGTTTCTTCATATACCAGAGAAGAGTAATATTGGCAAGCCAGACGACAGTAAATGCCAGTAATGTGGTGCAGTGATGCTAAACTAAGCTTGTAATTAGACCTTGCAGAGCTAATCAAATGTAAGTGTGTAGAGCCACCATAGTTGTATTCTGGTGCTAGTTCATTAAACAAAGAAATAGTAGGCATGTGCAAAGTGAGCTGTGACACTAAAATGGAAACACTGTCTTAAACACGGAACCTGGAGTTTTTGAAAAAACGTTTAAAATGTGGAGGAACATTTTTATCCAGCTTTGAGGGACTTTTAAAAAACTATTTATCTACCTACTGATCTCACCAGCGGAATCAGAAGAAACATGCTGTTGTGTATTTGTAATTTTCAAATCACTTTCTATTTCTTTTCATCATAAAACATTTCTTGAAAGATTTTTCAGGATTTTTATGAAGTCTACCAAGACTGAACTAATAAACATTTACAGAAACCAAAAGGTACAGCATAAAGTTTTTGAAAATCTTCACACCTAGTAGAACCTGGAATATTCTGCCATTTTACTTGATAAACAACGAGACAATCAGTCAACTGATTGCCTTCATTTTCTCTTTATCAGCTAATTGATTTATCGACAGATTGCCGCAGCAGCAGACATAACAGATCTATTGCACCCCAGCTAGTCTGGCTGCCACCACCTCTGTTAGACCCAAAGTGCAATCATTTTTAATTAAAAGTCATTAACGATGACTGAGGAGATGCAGAAACATATGTGGCAGCAGTTGCATCATAGTGCAGACATATAGGCCTTGCATACAACTCAGGGCAGCACTGGGGTAAACCTTTCATGGCTAAGCCTTGAGATTACGCTCTTTGAACAAGCCGTATCCAGTTGCCTGGATGCAGAGGGGTCCCCTCCCCTGCTCTGCTCAGCTCATCTCCTAGGATTTGTGCATTTGATGTGCTCAAATCCAGAACAGGGGTTAACGGAGCCGCAACCTCAGCCTCACCTTTCATTCTCATCTGTGCTGGGCCCCAGACAAAAAGTTGAAAATTGTGCCGACTGTGTTAAACTTATACAGTATCTGCAATAATTGGTATATTGTTTGTGACAACGACAAGACATAAACCAAGTGCTACGCTTATTGAATTTGTGCTGATCTGAGAGTAACATGGTTTCCTCTTCAATAACGTGACACACCAAGAGCAATTTAAGTCCAGGGAAAAACTAGGGTTGGGTATTGTTTGCGTTTTTTTCTGATACTGGTGCTAAAAAAAATGTATCACCAAGGCAAATTGGAAGCTAAAGTTTATCATATTAACAGTAAACGGTTTAAAGTTTGATAAATCTAACTATACAAATATACACAAGTGCGCAAATTAATCACATATCAAATTAAACCTTATCCAACTACAGTAATGTAACACCTCACAACAGTTTCAGTGCTCAATATAGTAGAATACTCCAACTCCTCAACAATTGTCTCCCCACCACCGGGGGCTGATGTGCTGGCAGAAGCAGTGAAACATCCGTCGGTTGTCAGGTGCTTCATTAAGTTTGTCTTGTTCCTTTACACTGAACTGTTTTCCAACATTTGATGCACGTCCCACTGTCAGAATCCTTTCGCATGAATTAATGCCACACTTTTCATTGTTTAGCTTCAGGGAAGTATTTTGTGTGAGGTAGCTACTAGCAAACTGCTGGGGAAAGTATTTCAGTACAGAGCTCAGGCACCGAAATCTGCGCAGTGATTCAGTCCGGATGGTACTGGCCATTTAGGAACCAGACTCGCACCCATCCCTAGTGAAAATATTCCGGCCGGGTATGTGTGGAATAATCACATTTCATAAACATGCAAAACTTGGCTAAATTACACCCATCCAAAAACCATGAATACTGACAACCTAGCATTTTGCAGGAAGCTGTGTTGGTATAGCAGGGGGGCATCTATCTTTCCTTATACCCAATCCCTCAACCCACCCCCCCACTTCATGCCATTGAAACTGTCCACGGCCCCCATATGGCTCAGACTCACTGTGGTTCACTGTGAGTGATCGGGAGAGGACGGACTGAGGAAATTGCGCCTCCTTGCTTTCAAGACCAAATTCCTCTGTCTGAATTGGCAGAGTCAGGGGGCCTGAGCTGGGAAAGTGGATGAGTCAGTATGCAGTAATGAGATCTTATTTACCCAGCTGGTGGAGGGGAAATGCTGGGAGTGTCCAGAGAAAGCCCCCTTAACTCACCCAGCTGGACTCTGGGGCCTACGGCCAAAACCACAAACCCCGCCCCCACCCTTCCCCTGCTGCCCCCCCTTATATATGTGGTGTATGTGGTGATGGTTTGGGACTTACAGTAATGGGAAAGAAACATAACTTATATTAAAATGATTTTAAAGTGTACAGCGCAAAACAAGAGTGCAAATCCACAAAAGGACACCAAAGTTGGGACAGTGATGGACAGACACTTACTACTTCACCAAGGGAGGCGGCCAGCATGTGAGTGACAGGTGCCACGTGTGGCGCTGCTCGTGCTCCGCCAGCACCGAGCAGGGACTTTGTGCCTTCGTAGGTGACAAAGAAAGCAGCAGCTGAAACCAAGCAGAACCACAGCCATTTAAGGCCCATTAGTCAACCACCATACAGCAATTAATATCCCTCACTACCACTGACAGGGGAGACACTGAGGTGTGTGTGTGTGTGTGTGTGTGTGTGTGTGTGTGTGTGTGTGTGTGTGTGTGTGTGTAGCTAAGAAAGTGTGTCTCATACAGAAAAAGTTCAAACTTTACTTTGCCAACTACCACAAACTATTGAAATATGCACATAACATCTCACTTCTGTCAATTTCTCTCTGATACTAGGCTCAAAGTCGAGTTTAGCATTATTTACACTGATCCATAATAATCAACAGATTTGTGCGACTGTTTGATTACACACTCTATTGATAATCAAATACTGCTGCTTCTAGTAGTAGAATTGTCTGAATCCAATGTGGTTCTTAAAGAATATTTCTGAATTCATAATTTCCTTCTTCAGAGATCTGCTTGGAATTATTGTGTTAATGGTGCATATGCAATCATATGGATGGAAAAAGTTTGTTTATCGTTGCAATAATGGTTTGAAACTGACACTTGCATGTGTTTTTGCATCCAACCTCAAAAAAGAAAGAGCAAAAATTAAAACAAATTTGAAAGTGGATTATTACACTTATCTGAGTAACGACACAAACACAAGTCTGCAAAGTCGCCCTGTAACTCATTGTCACTGTGCTGTGACTGGAGGCATGTCGAGAAAACAAAGTAATTTGTAGTTTGTGCATTTTGCGATCAACACAGAGGTTGAGCAACAATCTGATCCCACACAAAGAAGAGTCTTTGTTGTTCAGTCTCCACCTCTGGGAGAACTGCCTTCACATCAGAACATATTTCCGGCTAACAGTGATTGTCTTACCATTGGGGAAGGAGCCAACAGCAGCAGATGGGACCCCTGCGTAGATGCCCCTGAAGCCCCCTGCCTTATAGAAACCTTGCTGACTCTGCAGTCTGGTCTTAATGGTGTCCAGGGGGAAGAGGGTCAGATCCACACACATCCCCGCACAGCCTCCAGCCTGAGGAGATTTCAATCACTTTGTCAGACACAGAGCTGCACTGCACACTCCACCAGTGATGGAAGAAGTGTTCAGATCTTAATCTGCATTCAGTGATTTTTGTTTGGCCACTTGGTGGCAGCACAAAAAGCAATAAACAACACTGTCATATCATCGCTGATACAGTAAAAAGTAAAGCCTGAACAGAATGGATTTAGTTTAGTTAGTTTATTTGTATTTTGATTTTCTGATGCAGATATTGAAGGAGTAAAAAAAATGTGGGATACTGATATATTGGCCGATAAATCTATATTAAGAAATAAATTATGTTGTAATGATTCCTAAAATCAAACAGTTTCATTCCAAATAATAAGCAAAGAAGAAAAAAACATACGAATACATATGGAGAACTAATAAAAAAAATTTTTAATGTTGAATAAACAAATGCACACCTTTTCCGCATTGTTTAGTCTGTAAAATGTTCATGTTTCATATCAGAATATAGAGGCAAACATGAACGCAGATACCAATGTGTTTGTAACAGGCTATCATCCAACGGATGAGTCAGTCTATCAAGTAATACGTTGCAAAATTACACATCCAACAGACACGAGTCAACATTGTGCATCAATAATAAAATTGGCTTCACCCCCTAAGACATCCTGAGACAAAAGTGTCTGTATAGAAATGTTAAACATAATTTAATTATGTAATAATATTTTACTTCTACAAAGCTCCTGGTAGATGGTGAGCACCTGTGAGACTTCAGTATGAGTTGTTTTCAAATTGTATTTGGTGAATGTGGGTCCTGAAAGTTTTGAAACCAGGGGACCTGAGGCTGCTCTTTGATTGGTTGCGTTGTTCCATAGCGACTTGGCTTGGGAACCGGAGGGTGGCCGGTTCAAGTCCAGCATGGACGGAAGTTGGAGAGCTGCTAGTTCACCTCCTGGGCACTGCCGAGGTGCCCTTGAGCTCCGAACCCCCCCCAATTGCTCGCCGGGCGCCTTCATGGCTGCCACACTGTTCCGTGTGTGGTCACTGTGTGGATTGTGTTCCGTGTGTGCTCCGTTCACACGGATGGGTTAAATACAGAGGTCAAATTTCCCCATGTTTGCATGTTGCATGCTGTGTGTGGGACCATAAAGAGGAATCTTAATCTTAATCTTAAAACACAGCTGTATCACCTCCAGTAGGCGGCCACCTCATGTGATCAAGATATGATGCTTGTGTTTGCTTGAACCATTTATGATCTACTAAACATCAAACACTGGTCCATTAACACTGAAATGACTCATTCATGTTTACATTATTCTTAATTTGTGTAAAAAAACTAAATCTGTCACGTTTGGTCATTTCAGCATTAGGTCATTATCTATACCTCTTATACTCTGAGGTTCACGGGGGAACTGTCTGTATGTCAACTTTCAAGAGATTTTACTGATTTCACCTCTCAATGATTTAACAAATAATAATGTGTGCTAAAATGAAGAAGTCGCTGAATTTGCCTTTTATTCTCTCAGAAATTCTGCAGTCAAATCTTCTGCAACTTGTTTTCATATGAGCAAGTTGTGAGTGCCATGATGACCTGTGGCCAACCTTTTCTTTAATATTCTAAGAATGTCTACAGTCAAATGTTCTGGAACTGGACATGCAGACAGTGGGGGTCACCATGAACAAGAGCTTGGTGCATTATCTGTGTGGAAACCAGATCAAAGTGTCATTAAACTCTCGTCTTCAGGTTTCATCTGCTCCACCGTGTGTGTGTGTGTGTGTGTGTGTGTGTGTGTGTGTGTGTGTGTGTGTGTGTGTGTGTGTGTGTGAGCGGGTGGTCACAAACGACCACATGACCGCAGTCCTTGTCTCTGACACTGTCTTCTGCCAACAGGTTCATGTGAAGCGGCTTGAATGAATTACTTCAGGTTGCATTAGCAGTTAGCTGCTAGCAACACGGACACGTACAATAACACAGTGTATAAAATGAGCGTCTCACCAGCAGAGAGGCGACGAACCCTCGTGTCTCCATGTTCCTGTGTGGCTGTCAGCAGCTCAGCCCCTCACATCTCCAGCTGCTCAGCCGGCTGGACACACCGCTGCTGTGGAAACATGCCTGTCAAGGACGCTGCCATCTTGGCCGACACACTTCCGCCTGACGTCATGACGCACGCTGCTCACGTGACTTTGAACGCCTTGTAGTGATTGTCAATATTTTATTGACAACATATACCAACAAAGACTATCTGTGCCGGGGATCACCAGATATACTTTTAAACCAACAACAAAACAAGTCATTTATGTAAAAACTAATGATTAAATAAGATTATATTAGAAATGAAAAGAGAAAGAAAAGATCCCAATGGCTCTATGCAGGAGACGAAACACAAGGAATATGAAGTCAATTAGTATTATTATTATTATTATTTTAAAAATAATAATTGGCCAAACTAATCAGAATCTTATTAATAATAATAATTATAAAAACTATTTACAAAGCACACAAATTACAAAGTGCTACACAGCAAGAAAATGAATTGTCAAAATACAAAAGGAACAACTTAAATAAGAATGGCTATAATAATAATAGAGATAAAAGATCGATATAGCCTGGCACCACAAGTCAGGAACATGCCTTCCAATAAAGGGTGAAAGTTTAGTGACTCATGTTTGTCAAAAGTTGTAGCCACTAGCAACAGAGAACTAATATACTGAGCCACACAAACATTGTCTAATTAAACTAAACTCTGACTTTTTTTTTCTATTGGACTCATCAGGTTCCTCCATCTTCTGGATTTACTTCCCACTGCTGAGAAGGTAGAATATAAGAGGAGTATACGTGTGAATATACGTGAATCCTGCAGAAAAGAAGAAGAGGTTAGGAGAGAAGAGGCACTTTTTTTTTTTTTAAATCAGTATGAAAATATATCAGTAAATACAGGATAATACAGGGTTTCCACATGGTTTTGATATCTGAAATATTATATACTAGGTCTTAAATATGTTCAGGTAGTTTTTATATGTCAACATTCATTTAACACTGCTTCAATCATGCTTACATTTTTTAGAGGTGGTAAAGACTACGGACTGTAGTTTGAGATGTATTAAGGGTTATTCTATACTCATTGACACCTGCAGAAATAAAAGTATTCAATAATATTAAAATTAAATTTAAAAAATTAAAAACTTTGCTTTTGACCTTCCTTTACACACACAAACACACACAAACACACACATGTTGTAACAGATGACTGTAGGGCCTTATAATCTTTTGTCTAACCTCGCCCTCATGATGCCAGTGAGTGAGTGTGCTCAGGTGAGTGTGTTCTTTTTCCAGTGACACGCTCACTGCGTTATTTATGTGCTGCTGTCAGACAGGCAGCCCCTTCTATTACGGAAAAGCGGGCGAGGGGCCGCCACCTCTTTATTCAGCCCGGACCTAATGATGTCTGGGCTGAGTGCGCCCAGTTTGAAGCTCGCTGCTCGCCATCCATCTTGTTGAAGCGGGTCTCGCAGGGATCCCAGTGGACGTGAGCCCCAGCTGGGTCTGGACCGGGCTGCTGTCTCTGCTGTCTCCGTCTGTATTAGGCCCGAGGATGACAACAGCATCACTTACTCTCCACTTTTCATGCTTTTATTGTCTCGATGCAGCGCTTCAGAAGATAGAGTTCAGAGGACACGTGTGGGGGTTGTTGTGGTCTCTTTTTGTCATGTTGTTCGGTCGTGTTTTATCACTGTGATATTTATTGTGATGCTGACTTGATTCCACACTATACGCTCCATCCCTTAACACACAGACTGAGGTTGTTGTCCCCCAGTCCAGTCAATATGGCACATTAATTCTATACCATACCTGAAATTGATTTTTCGTTCTTTGTGCTGCTGTTGAGAAGTGTGTACTGTCCAGAGCACTGTCTGCTCCATCATACAAAGCCATTTATCAGCCTGTCACAGCACGTCCTTGGTTATTGAGAGTTTTGTTATTTGTGCTCCAATCACTGTATCCATGTGAGTCTCAGTGGACCGTTTGCAGAAAAAAAACCTAAGTCAGTATTAAAAAAGTGTAAAAGTTTGACTGGACCACCAAGTTTGTTACTACAGAAAGTAGCTTTTACTTATTTATGTAATGATCATTGATGAAATCTCAACTTCGCCGGTGTTAAATCACGTTTTAACACCTGCACTCACTGCTTGTCAGTTTAACTTGAGCTGTTTTCCTGACATGAACTAAGGAAAATGTCTGAAAAACTATGTCAGAACATTTACCGGATATTACCTTTTACATACAAAGAACAAATCAGGAGATTGTCCACTGACACAAAACCTACTTACAGTGTTCTCAAGCTTATCTGTCTTTTTGAAATATTCCCGTTTGCACCACAATCATACACTGCAGCTCATATCCTATCCAACCTGTGTGTTATGTTGTGTACTTAGATGTCACATGAGTACTTGTATGGTGTGTACTTATACGTTGATCATAAAGATCAGTCTGATCTATGTCCTGTACAAATGGCAGAATTGACAAGAAAGTTGACTTTGACTTATCGGCAAATATCACAATGCCAGAGTGATTCAGACCACACCTAGTATTCACATATTTTGTATTCGGTCATTACATATGACTCTGTTTCTAAAATAACATTGAACCAAAAAGTCATTATAGCTTCTTAAATGCTATAATAACATATAAAGTACTTCATACATTCTTTTCTGTCTGTATAAATTTCCTTTTTTCAACTTTTACTTTCTTTTTGATATGTGTGATATGAGTCTGTCATAATAAGAAAATGTCAGTGTCATGTTCTCATTGAAATGAAATGTGATGAGAATGTCGTTTGTGTTAAATGCTCTGTATTTGATGATCACTCAAAGCTTTACGTTACAGTTCTTCATTCATTCACACATTTATGTGCAGCACTATGACACATCCCTTATAAACTGTTGGCAGGTGGCAGGACATAACAAATAAATTCCAATGCGGAGAGCACATGTTTTTGTTTACAACGCTGGCGTCGGCCCATATCACCAACATCTCTCCCATCTCGTTGTCTTTTGGAGTTGACATCTTCGTCAGTGTCTTCTTCATGTATTGCCCTTTTTGTTCATCCTGACATACTTGTATTCTTCCAGCTTGGATCTGTGTTATGTGATAGAAACGCCATCAACACACCCACTTGTGAATTCCCGGTATGTTTCCCTGCTCATTTCTCACAAGGGCACACTTAGACATTTCAGTGCATGTCTCCAAGCAGCTTTAATGTGTCCCTGAAAACATGTCAGGAGGGCATCTTACAGTTTGAAACTGAAGAACTCAAACAAACTGTTTGGCACCAGCATGGCCTGTGTCTTTTGGGTAGCAGGTGAATTTACCCACAGAAGTGAATGTAAAAATGTGTCTGGATGAGAGTGTGGGGTGCTCAGTTACCCCTGTGTAAGGTCAATGAGAGGCACCCGCAGCCTGGGCAGATTTGCAGGAAGCACCATTGATCTTGACCCACTCCGAGTATGATCTCAGAGATAAAAGGGAGAAGACGAGAGGGGAACTTATTCACCGTCAGCCACAAGTCAGCAAAGGGCAAATCTAGCCCGTAGGCTGTCTTTGAAAAAATGAAGGGCAAAGGCACGGAGGATTAAGCCAGGAGGAGGGGAGGAGAGAAATGCAGGCAGATATAAGGGTGATTGTAAAAACAGAAGCAACATCTATTGTTTTTGCTCGCCTTCAGAGGTACGTGTGTTAGGTGACAGCCGGAATGAACCCAGGGTCAAAAGGTCACGTGACTCAAACAGGTGAGAGGGTGCATAGAGTTCACCCTGAAGTTTTTACACACTTTTTCTGCCTGCTTCTGTGTGTGTGTGTGTGTGTGTGTGTGTGTGTGTGTGTGTGTGTGTGTGTGTTATATCTGATCATTTACATTTTGAATTCTTTATCATGAATTTTCATTATCCTTCTTTGAGAGGCCCAGTTGCTCCTTTTAGACGCTGTTACAGACAAGAGATTGTCATTTTTTTTCTTGTGCGCAATTTGAGGAGGCGCCATCTGTAATGGTCATTATTCGTGAGCTGAGAGGAACACACATCTTGACTCTGACACAGCGATATTATTCATGAGACAGGCCGGTCAAGCAGCGTGGTAAACTTCAGCCGAAACACAACTCCTGCTCATTAGCCGGCCTAACATTTGCATCATTAGGACACTGCGACAGCAGGGGTGGGAGGAGATGCGACTAAGCGCCTTTCATATACCTCGTTTTTCCTCTCGGGATGAGAGGCTACACGAGTCCGTGGCAGGGGAGGGGGGTGAAAGGGAGGCTGGGAGTGATGGTCCAAATGAAGAGAAAAGGTAGGTGACAGGAGGGGAGGAAGGAGGGAGGTGAGATAGAGGGAGGAAAGGAGACGAGAAAGGTTAGAGAGAAAGTGGAGAATAAAAGAACATTCATTATGAATTCACTGAATCGACAAGCTGTCAGGCTGCGCCGCCGTCCGTATAGCGTATAAGCCTCGGCTGCACTATTGAGTCCTACGTCACAGCCCCAAAAGTGTTCTCTCCTTTCCTCACCTTTTGGCGGCATCCACCTCACATGCCTTTGCTCCATGCTATCTGCTTTTTTGGATTGACCCCCAACAGCCCTGAAAACCCATGTCATCATCCCATCTTCCACTTTCCCCCTTTCTCCCCCACCTCGTGCCCTCTCATCCCTGCTGGGCCACCACTGAAATATGAGCTGCCTGTAGCATATTGATCCCATACCTCGCTCCCGCCTAAAGATAGATAGATCACAGACGAGGCGTAGCACTACTGATGCCTCCTCCTCCTTCGCTGCAGCGGCAGTTCCAGTGGCTTCACTAGTTGATATTGACTGCAGTGATCAATTTCACCACGATGCATGCTGATGAATTCTGTGCTCCGGTTGTCGTCGTCTCAGAAAGAGCAGGTGAGCAGGTGAGCAGGAGTGGAATAGTGGAGGCCTTGGATTTGTCAGGATGTGTGTAATCACTTCTGGTATAGTGTTGCATTGACATCAGCTGACAAAACCTGTCATACTGTAGATTGCATCACATATCTAATGCTGGTTGTGACACAACAATTTAGTTACACTTTAATATTAATATTAATGCATTTAGTTGGTTCACAGAGGATCATTGTAAAGGCCTCA